GTGGAATATGGAAATCTTCTTCTGTGTGAGTTGGCTTTTCATCACTGTCACCAAAATACCTGACAAGAACAACTTGGAGAAGAAGAAGTTTGTTGTGGCTCATGGTTTCAGAGGATTCACCCATGGTTGGCTGAGTCCGTTATTCTGGGGCCAAGGTAAGATAGAACATCATGGTGAGAGGGTATGGTAGAGGAAAGCTCATGGTGGCCAGGAAAGAGAGAGAGAGAGAGAGAGAGAGAGAGAGAGAGATGGGTTGGGGGAAGGGGCCACAGGGGAAGATGGACCCTTCCTGGACATGCTCCCTGTGACCCAGCTCTAGCTCCACCCCCTGGCCTACAGTTACCATCTTGTTAGTCCATTCATGGACAGAGGAAGCTATAGCTCTCATAACCCAGTAGTTTTACCCCCAAACATTCCTGCATCACCACAGGAGCTTTTGAGGGACACCTCATGCAAAAACCACAACAGCTACTGTGGTAGTATTGCTATCTGTTTTTCTCATCAGATCTATAAATATTTGTTTTACATACTTAGGTGTTCAATGTTGAGTGCATGTCTATTCACAATTGTTATATCTTATTAATAAATTTATAATGAGATAATGACCTTTTACATTTCCTTTCATTATTTTTGATTTAAAGTCCATTTTGTCTGATATAGCACCCCTTACTCTTTTTGGTTCCATTTTATAGAATATGGAATATCTTTTCCTATCCCTTCGCTTCAATCTATATGAATCATTAAAGATGAAGTGAGTATCTTATAGAAAGCATATGCTTTGGGCCTTATTTTTAAAATCCACTCACTCACTCTGTATCTTTTGATTAGAGGATTTAATCCATTTATAGGTAATGTTTTTTTTAGTAGATACTTTGTTTTTTTCTCTTGCTGTACTACTTTGTGATTTGATGGCTTTATTTAGTGGTACGTTTTGATTCTTTTCTATCTTCTGTGTATCTACTATTGGTTTAACTTTGTGGTTTACATAGAACATTTTATTATTATAACAGAGTATTTTATACTGATAACAAACAACTTAACCTTGATCACATACAAAAGCTCTACATCTTAACTGGCCCCCATTTGATGTTTTTTATATCAAAATTTGCATTTTTATGTTGCATATCCATTAACAAATTATTGTAGCTATAGTTATTTAAAAATTTTTTTGTGGTTGTAGATGGACAGAATGCCTTTATTTTATATGTTTATTTTTATGTGGTGCTGAGGATCCAACCCAGTGCTTCACATGCTAGGCAAGTGCTCTGCCACTGAGCTACAGTCCCAGCCAGTTATTTTTAATAGGTTTGTCTTTTAAGCTTCGTACTAGATATAAGTGATATATATACCTCTATTATAATATTCTCATTTGTATCTCTACTAGTGAGTTTTTAATTTTCATGTTGTTAATGAGCCCTGTTGTTTCAACTTGAAGAACTTCTTTACCATTTCTCATAAGGCGGATCTAGAGATGATGATCCTGCTTAGCTTCTGTTAGCCTGAGAATGTCTTTATCTCTCCTTCATTTCTGAATTACAGCTTTTCTGGGAATAGTGTTTATGGCTGACAGTGTTTTTTTTTTTTTCTTTCTTTCTTTAGCACTTTGAATACATCATTCATTTCCCTCTTGTCTTGCAAAGTTTCTATTGTGAAGTCTGCTGATAGCCTTATTAGGGTACCCTTGTATGTGATACATCTCTTATTTCTTGCTGTTTTCTTCTTTTTTGACTTTTGACAATTTGACTATAGTGTGCCTTGGAGTATTTTTCTCCAGGTTGATCTTGCCTAGAGTCCTTTGAATTCCATGAATCTGTAGGTCACATGTCTCACCCAAGATTTTGAAAGTTTTCAGATCCCATTTCTTTAAATAATTTTTAAAAAATCTTCTTCTATCTCTACCTTCTTTTGAAATGCCCATAATTTGTATATTTGTATGCTTGGTGGTGTTACATAGGTCCTTATGCCTTCTTCACCCTTTTCCATTCTCTTTCATTTTTGTTCCTTGACTTTACTCATTTCATGTCTGTAGTAGGTAGCATGTAAGGCTTATTTATGGAATATTGTTCCCATTGGAAACAATTGTCCCACACTAGAAACAACTCCACAATGGAATGCATAATTTGTGTCAAAAATTTTAAAAGTGTTTCCGGGTTGTTATTTAGGTAATGCTATTCAATATAGCTTAAATTTCTCTGTTTCTAGTTATTAATATGGTCAATACTTTTCCCAAATTTATGGACAATTTGGAATTCCTCTTAGAATGTTGAAGATATCAGTCTACTGTCTTTGACTTCCACTGTTGCTTCCACTATCATTCACTTGAAGGGAATGATTTTTCCCCCCATAAGACTGATTTTGAAGATCTCTTTGTTGCATTGTACCTTTATTATGATTTATTTATATGTGAACTTCCTTTTATATTGTCTTTAGATTCGCAATTGGTGGTCTCAATTAAAGATATCCAATAAGAATTTTGAGATTTGTCAAGTATTGGTGACAGTCTTTTATCTTTAAAATGCATGTGTCTGTGTATATATATTTTTTTAAAGAGAGAGTGAGAGAGGAGAGAGAGATAGAGAGAATTTTTAATATTTATTTTTTTAGTTCTCGGCGGACACAACATCTTTGTTGGTATGTGGTGCTGAGGATCGAACCCGGGCTGCACGCATGCCAGGCGAGTGCACTACCGCTTGAGCCACATCCCCAGCCCCTGTGTATATTTTTTGTTTTTATTTTTTTGCAAATGTTGACCATTTGGAAACAAGGAGAGGACCATTTTGAATAGTATAGTTGCTTATTAAAAGCATGCGTTTTGGAGTAACAGTTTATTCTTATATTAACTATAAATCCATCTTATGTAGATAGACATGTCTGTTTATCTGTATAAGTAGAAAAAAGCGAACACAGAAAAATAGAAGTTATTTGAGTGGTTCTCGGAAAGAAAAACAACTCTATTGGGAGCAAGCAGGAGTAACTAGTATTAGTACTGGTAGTCCAGAGAGAAAGAGCATCCAACACTGTGTTTGGAAGGTGGTAAGTTAGGAAAGGGTTTTGAGAAAGCGAGTGTGTGGCTTTAGTTCTCCTTTATAGGACATAGAGCTTTTATGTGACCCTAATATCCAGAATGAAAGAGTAATAAAGCATAATGAGGGAAACTGTAGCCCAAGGGATGGGGGCATCCAGTGACCAGGAGTTAATACGAGGACTGAGGAGGGAAGTGCAGGCAGAGAGACTGGAGGTGATTAATGACAGAGAGAAGAATATAAGCAGGGT